GTGGCTCATGGACAGGCTGAGCAGAGTGGCTCAGACACGAGGACAAGCCGACCTGTCAGAGCAGCTCCTCGCTGAATCAGCTCCCCTAGCTCCCAACAGAGAACTGCCAGAGCCTCAGCCTCTCCTTCTAGTGCCAGTGCAGGCTCTGGAGCATGCAGGGTGTCTCTCAACGAGCTCCAGAGGCATTTTCTGGCCCACTTTTTTCACAGAATCGTTTAGTTTGGAAGAGACCTTTAATCCCCTTCCTGCTGTGCGCTCTGCAGCCCAGCGTGCCAGCTCTGTGCTCTTTGATCTTCCTCTCTTTTGTTTTTTTTTTTTTTTCCCACTGTCCAGCTTCTCTAGAAACCCCACACTGTAGTTATGTGGCCAGACAAGTACAAGCTCAGGTCTGGAGCCTGTGAGCAAAGGGGAAGGAAGCCAAATGGGCAGGTTGTGAAGGAGGAACTGAAATCCGTGCGAAGCGGCCGAATTGCCCCTGGCCTGGCAGAGACGAGGGCGGCACAGGTTCTCCCAGCCAGTGACTCACAGGAACAGCCCTGCAGGAGCTACAGGCTCTGGCTCCGAGGCGTTGGAGGGCTGGGGTTGTGCCTCCCGACTTCCCTTGTGCGCGGCTTGTCCGGCGAGCGCGGCAGCCCCTGGTCTGGCGGCGGGAGGATGTGCTGCCCCACATCCCGGGCACGCCAGGAGCAGGGGTCAGAGAGGGGCTTTGCCTCTGGACTGGCCAGTGCCGTGAGCCCCAGGCTCACCTGGAGAGGAGACACCGATGGGGACGGGCAGGGTGCACCTGGCCCTGCTCCCTGCACTCATCCTGCTGTCCTTGTCCCCGGCAGAGCGGAGCGGAGGGTCTGGCCGGGTGTTCACAGAGCCTCAGCTTCGAGCTAGCGCTGGGGACTCTGTGCTGCTGCAGTGCCACTTCCTAGACCTGGAGAACAAGGGCTGGACCCTGAGCAAGGTGGACTGGATACACAGGGCCAGGGCTGGCACTCAGGTGGGTCGGGATCGGGGGGTGGGTGGTGGAGCGGGACACCGGGGCTGTGGCAGGGGAGGTTGAGTGAGGCAGCTGTGGGGAGGATGTGGGGAAGCCTGTCTGCCTGGCCCAGGTCATGAGAGAAGGAAGGTTCCACGAGGGGAGGAAAGTTGCCTGTGTGGTGGTGGGACACCCCGTGGCCCCAGGCTGCAGGGGAAGCACCGCTCTGGGTGCAAGCCGGGCTCCGTGAGCGGCAATTGCTCCGTGGGGAGAGGGAGAGAGCAGAACCTGAGGGCTCTGGAGGAGGGAAGGCTCATGGGGCAGTGCCCTTCCACTGGGCTCCCTTGACCTGACACTGTCTGTGCCCTGGCAGGAGGAGGTGGTGTTTTTTTACTACAGCAACCGTGGGGTCCCTGCGGGACGCTTCAAGCACCGGGCGCAGTGGGAAGGGGACCTCTCCCGCCGGGATGGCTCCATCCGGCTGCGGGACCTGCACGTGAACGACAGCGGCACCTACGAGTGTGAGATCCGGCTGCAGCTCAACAGCAGCATCTTCAAGAACCGCACGGTGCTGCACGTCAGCCCCCCGGCACAGAGAGGTGCGGGCTGTCCCTGCCACTGCTCCCCCGCTCCCTCGTGCTGAGGGGCTGCAGAGGCCCTGGAGGCTCTCAGACCTGCTGCCACAGCCCTCCTGCAGCAGGGCCGGGGTCCCCGTGGTGCCATCCCTGCCTTGGTGTCTCCCCAGAAGGACGAGGAGCAGCAGGTGCCCACGAGGCTGCACCCCTGAGAGACTCGGGGTTTTGGCCGGCGGTGGTGGGCTGTGGCTGTGTGGCCGTGGTGGTGGCGTTCCTGGCCGGACTCTGCGTGAGGAAGAGGTACCAACGCTGGCTCTGGGGTTATGGGGCTGAGCAAAGCACCTCCCTGCATCTCCCTGTGCTGGTCTCCCCAGCCAGGCATCACCCTGAGCTGCCCCGTGCAGGGCAGGTTCCCAGGTATGAGGGTTCAACTCCCCCAGAGTGGGGTGCAGGCTCCTGCTGCCATCTAGTGTCACTCTGCCCTGGCCAGTCCCCCCTCGGCTCCCAAGCCTTCTGGGCTGGGCCAGCAGCAAGGACGGCCTGGCTGAGGCACGTGCAAAGGGATTCCAGTGTCCCGGGAGGGGGAGGGAGGCACAGGAGGGGCAGGCGATGGTTCTCACTGGAGATGACACTGTTGTCGCCTTCCCACAAGGTTTGCAGGCAACACAGCCCTGGAGAGGATTGGAAACAACAAGAGCAAAGCAGAGGTGAGAGCTGGGGCTGGAGGGAGCACTGAGGTCGGGTGTGTGGGGAGGCCAAGGGAGGGGGTCCCACACTGGCCAGGCACGAGGTGCCATTCCCTGCCCAGACACAGCCATGGCTCCTGGTGCCTGCCCTGTGAGTGGGGTCAGGCAGCCCTTGTGTCTTTGGGGACTGCCCAGTTCCAAACATCCCGATCCCCCCTTGCAGGAAGCGCTTTACTGCTCAATCCCTGGAGCTGAGATACCCAAGGCTGAACAGGATGCCAAGAAGAAGAGGAGAGCTGAGGACACCTACATAACCATGGTGAGGAGCAGGCTGGTGTGATCCCCCACATCACTGCCCCCTGGCCAGGGTCATGGTATCCAGGCCTGACCCCTCATTCTCTGTGCCAGGCAGCAGCATCCCTTGCCCCCTGCCCCCTCCAAACAGCCCCTGGTACCTGTGGTGACACTCACACCCTGTCCCTTGCTCCGGCAGCACCCCTCTCACTGCCGGGAGAATGGAGTCTACGTGGAGCTGTCCAAGAGGATGATCCCGGCAGAATGGATGGGAGAGGGGAGACAAGGTGATGGACGAAGCCAGGAGCCCCACAGCAGACCAGAGCAGCCACTTCCCCGGGCTCCAGAGCAGGAGAAATAACCGTGCTGGAAGATGAAGCCTCTTAGCCAGGTGTGTCCAAGACACTTTGTCCCTTTGGGTGGCCAGAACTGGTGACACTTCACTGTGTACTCTGTGCCAGGGCACTGCTGGGGCATGGCCCACCCCAGCTGTCTGCAGGGGACCAGGGGAGACCTGTCCCTCTTGCCCCCTGGTCTCTGGAGGGGGCACAGTGGGCACAGTCTCCATGCTCTAGTTTTAAGCCTGGTCCTGAGACAAGGATCTCCAAGGGGGGATATGCAGCGGGGGCCTTTATGGTATTATTCTGGAGATAATAAAACTCAGGGACTCTTCCCTGTTCCTGTCTTCGTTTTACCTCTTGCTTAAGCATGTGATGTCCAAAAGCTGCCTGGCCCAGGGCCTGGGAGCCCCTGCACCCACGTGCAGCCTCGCACAGGGCACCTGCCTGGCTGGCCCCAGGGAGCAGTAAAGCCAAAAGGGCCACAGAGGGGGTCCCTTTGCAGCAGGATAGGGGTGGAGGGGAGCAGGACAGACCCTGCAGGCAGTGTGTGTGTGCTCATGTCTCCCTGCCCCAGCCCCTGGCCATGGGTGAGCACCCACCCTATACCCAGGACAGGCAGTGCTGGCCGAGGGGGAGCCCAGCACACCCCCCCAGGGCTCCAGGGCAGCATCTGAGAGGGTGCTGGCGCTGCTCCTGCTCTATATATAGATGTTTGACACCTCCAGGTGCGGAGGGAGCACAGGGACCCTCCACCTCCCACCACTGCTGAGACTGCAGCGCTGCTGCTCCTCCTTGGTTCACGTTGACACCCTGCTCTCTTTTCCTGGAGGGAGGCAGAGGGATGGGATCACAGCAGGAACCAGCAGCCTGAGCTGGTTTTGGGGTGTTGGAGGGTCACATGTGACCTCTGCTGCCGTTGTGGGGTTGTGGGAGCTGTTGTGGCAGAGCAGAGCGGGCTCTGCCTGCCCAGTGTGCAGGGGAACTGCTGTGTGTGCAGTGAGGGTGTTTGCTGAGCAGGGTTGCTGTGTTTGCCCTGCCACTCTGATGCCTTCTCTCCCAGCTGTCCTGTTTCCCCTCCTGAGGCTGGTCAGGACCCTCTGTGTCCCTGTTGCCCCATCCCTTCCTCCCCAGGTGTGTAGGAAGCAAGATGTGCCCTGGCTCCAGGGCATCCCTTGCCTTTCTCCCCACTGATGCTGTCTCAGCAAACTCCACCTCTCTGTGTCCCAGGGGACGAGAACCAGGGGCCTGAGCAGCTGCTGTCTCTGCCTTTGGTCCCCATGTGGCCATGTCAACCCCTTCCTGCTCCCACCTTTGCAGCCTGAGGCCAGGCTTGGAGTCCAGGGCCCAAAGACTTCTTTGTCTGATGGTGCCAATGGGATCAAAGACTTTCTGTAGCTCTGTCACTGCTGGGCAGAGCTTCCTTGTCCCACGGGCTGGGTGAGCAGGGCTGTTACTTTGGGAGAGCATGCTGCTGGGGGGATGGCAGAGCTTGGCACCCCTGGGAAGCGAGGGAACTGCTCTTGCAGTGGCCTGGGAGAAGGTAGGTGAGCAGGAGAGCTTTTACCTGCTGCAGGTCACCTGCCCGTGGCAGTGCCACCTCCTGGGCACGCTGACCAGGCTGCTGTGCAGGCTGCCTCCTTGGGACCCTCTTCTATTCCCAGCCTGGATCAGCCCCCTCCAGGAGGGCATTTCCAATGTTCCCGGGCCCAGCTGGACGGGAACTGCTGCCGGGGATGGTGCGAGCGGGGCTGGTCGCCAGCCTCCAGCAGAGCCAAGGGGACACATCTGCACGGCCCCACCGAAACCAGGGGGGCTGCAGGGGCCGGGGGAACCCACCGTGTGACACAGCCCGCCCGGGGAGCACGGAGCTGGAGCTGCCAGGAGCTGTCGCCTGCAGTTCAGGGGAAAATTTTTCCGCCCTCCCACTCCACCGGCTGCAATCCACCAACCACAGCATTTACTGCTTTTTTTCGCCCCAGCTCCGCTCCAGCCATATTGGGCTGTGGAAATAAAGCGGCTCTAATGTTATATGTCACCTGCAAATAACCCGGGCGTTCGAAAAAAAAAAAAAACCCTCCACCACCACCTCCAAAACCCACGCCACCACCACGTCCTCTCCACACACAAAAAATCCTCCAAAAATGAGCCCGGAAGCCTGGCTCCCGCAGCCCACCTTGTTCCTCACTGGCCTCACCTTGCTGCTCTCGCTGGGTAAGTGTCTGACCGGATGCCCTTGCATGCAGCCAGCTGGGGAGGCATCCCCCTGCCTGGCCAGGAGCCCCCCTCCCCACACCCCAGCCCGTGCCGGCGCGGGGAGCCAGCGCTGAGCCGCAGGGATGGGCACGGAGGTGGTCCAGCATGCACCCTGCGGAGAGCCACCAGCCAGGGTGACCTGCTTTTTGGGCAGGGTGGGGGGTTATGCTGCGGCTGCATCTTCTCCCAAAGCCAGCCGTGCATCCCGCTCGCTGGCCGCTGTTTGCATGCCGGGGAGAGGACGGGGCTGCCGCGGGCAGGGGGGCTGCGCCTCGCCGGGGAGGTGGTGGTGGGTGGCTGCGGTGGCTTGTGGCTGTCCTTGGGGTGCTGGCTGGCGCCTGGGGGAGTGGGCACCGGGCTGGCAGTGCTGCACGGGCCGGGGGGGGATGTGTCCCCTGCGTCCTGCCCCACAGCCAGCAGCGTGTGTCAGCAGCTTTGGGTCGGTATCGATCGCGAACGGGAACGCATCACTTCTTTGAAGTGCTGTTCACGCTGTCCTGGAGCTCCTGATGGGCTGCCTTACCCCGAGGAGAGAGCCTGGGAAAGGAGGATACAAAACCTAGCGAGGTCTGCTTTAGAGGCTGCTGTAATTTTACCTCCCCGGGCGCAGGGTGCAGTGTGATGGAGCGTTTGGGAGCCTGCGCGGCGCCGAAGGACACAGCCTGGACGGTCGGTCCCGAGGCCTTTAGGGGCTTCTTCCCCCACTTCTGCTGTCCCCCAGTGCTGGGCAGTGGCAGAGTTTGGACCCACACACGTGGCTGCTCCCAGGGCGTGTGCTCACCACATGCTGGCTGCCCATGAGGACCCTCTGGCTGTGATACCGCCCTGCCAGCCTGTGGTCTTCCCAGCTGGGGTAACAGGATTGCTCCTGGTGGGATCTCATCCCTCTGTAGAGCCCTGGGGGCACCCTGAGGGCACAGAACAAAGCCAGGTCACCCAATTGCAGGCACACAGGGCATTGTGTGAGCGGTGCTCAGACAATGACTCCTTGCAGGGACACCCCCCCAACCAGGCCTGCTGGGACAGACCAGCTCCTGGCTCTTCTCTCCCACCCCTGGGAGGTTTTCTTGGAAGCATCTAAAGCTGTGATGGGGCAACAGGGCTGTGACACCAGCTCAGGACACTTCTTCCTTCCTTGGGCGCTGTGACTCGTCCCCATGTGCCAGCTGTCCCCATCCCTGTCTCCCTGAGCCCTGTGGGAGCCCCCCCTGCGCTGGGAGTGGATGGAGGGTGCTCACCTCGGCTGCCAGCACAGCAAGGAGCCGTCTCCAGGGCTTGGCCATACCTGAGGGCACCCCCTGCCCCCAGAGAGCTTCAGGGTGCTGCAGGTTCACACCTTGCAGCGAGACCTGTGGCTTGAAGCAGCCGTGTCTGTGGCTTGGGAAAGGCTGTTTTCCCTGGCTGCAGAGCCTGGCCCCTTTCCTGCCCTGCTTGCAGGCGGAGTGGAGTGGCCAGCGGAGCAGCCTGGACATGCCTCCAGCTCGGCCGCAGGGCTGGACTCGGCAGCACCTCGGGAAGAAGGTTTGAGAGCAAAGAGCAGCAGCCCAAGGGGAGAGGTGAGGTGATCCTAAAAGCACCTGGTGGTGGCAGTGTCACTGTCCCTGCCCTGTGGGATGCCACAGGCCCCCTTTATCGTCCCCTCCCTCCCAGGGCTCTCTGTCCCCGTGTCACTCAGGGCTTAGCCTCGGTGTTTGCAGCCAGCTGGCTGCACAAGGAGCCTGTCCCCTTTCCAGGCTGCAGGCGCTGGGTCTGGGGTGCTGCTGGGGCAGGCAGCAGCCCAGGGGAGCTGCAGGGATGGAGTTGAGCAGGGAGCAGGTCGCAGACACCCCATCCCTGCCCATGTCCCAGCAGAGTCCTGCCCTGGGAGCTGCACCAGGTACTGCCCCTGTTTCTCTGCCACAGCCAGGCTGGGGAGCAGGGACTGGCCTCGTTCCCCCAGGAGTGACCCAGATCTTGCTCTGGTCATTCCCCTTGCGTGGGCACTGCTGGGAGGGGGGAGCATCTGCATTCCCCCTGCAGCCCCTGGGGCCAGCCCTGGCAGATCCCAGCCCTCGCTGCCGTGCCGTGTCCTGCTGGGAATGAAATCTGATGAGCGCAGCCATAAATTTCAGGGCGGATGTGGCGCCGGGCCCCGTGTGCTGACGCTGCATCCAGCCCTGCACGGTGCTATGGATCCTATGGATCCTGCAGCAGGAAAGCCTCGGGCACCGGCAGGGAGCAGCGCTGGCTGCGAGTCAGCAGGAGTCAGCACCGGGCACGGCACTCAGGGGTCATCGGCCCTGGCAGAGCAGGGATGATGCTCTTCCTGTCCAGCCAAGGGACTGTGCCAGGGCTGGGGCTGTCCCCTTGTTGCCTGTCACTGCTGTGTAAGGAAATCCTGCTCCTGGCTGGATGCAGTGTGCGTGGATGTGCCCGGAAGGCGATGCCAGGCCCCAGGGTGAGCTCTGTGCCCCTTCCTAACTCCTCTGCATCCGGCAGCACCCCCGGGACTGGGCATGGAGGTCATGGCCCCTCCCACCATCAGTGCCTTGAATGGCACCTCGGTGAAGCTCTCCTGCACCTTCAACTCCTGCTACAAGGTGGAGAACAAGCAGTTTTCCCTCAACTGGACGTACCAGGAGTGCAGTAACTGCTCGGAGGAGCTGGTGAGTCTCACTTGGGGCTGGGGATCAGCTCCAAGTAGTTGTGTGTGTCCCTTGGGGTCCCGGGCAGGGCAGCATGTGCAGGGAGGGGGGTGCCCGGGCAGGGAGGGAACACGTGGGGTGCCAAGCGCTGTCTCACCTCCTCTCCCGCTCGGCTGGGCAGTTCCTGCAGTTCCGGATGAAGATCATGAACAAGCAGCTGGACCGCTTCGGGAACCGGGTGGAGTTCACGGGGAACCCCGCCAAGAACGACGTGTCCTTCACCCTCAAAAACGTGCAGCTGGAGGACGAGGGCATCTACAACTGCTACGTCCTGAACCCCCCGGACCGGCACCGGGGCTACGCCAGCATCAGCCTGAAGGTGCTCACCGAAGGTCAGTGTCCCCTCTGCCGCTCCCTCGTGCAGGGTTTGCTCCCTGGCCCTGGGAGCGAGAGCCCTGCCCACTCCCAGTTGCTCCCAGGGGGTGGCTCTGTGCCCTGAGCCCATGCCCTGTGTCCCCAGAGCCCCCGAAGCACGACTCGACGGTGGCTGTCATCGTGGGTGCCTCCGTGGGCGGCTTCTTGGCCGTGGTGATCCTGGTGCTGATGGTGGTGAAATGTGTGCGCCGGAAAAAGCAGCAGAGGCTGAACACGGACGACCAGAAGACGGAGGAGGAAGGGAAGACAGACGGCGAAGGCAACCCGGACGAGGGGACCAAGTAGTGCCCCCCTGCCCGCCCCTCCCTCCTCACCCCTGTACAGTGTGACCCTCTCGATGTGCTTCCCAGAGCAAGGATTTCTGTCTCCCCAGAGCATCCCTCCTTCCATCCAAATACCCAACCCAGCCTGGAGCAGGGCGCGGAGAGAAGAAGGTCCCTGGAGCCTGGCCCTGGTGGGCAGGGCTGGGGAGGGGGGCTGAAGCACATCAAGGCTGCCCTGAGGCTGCGCTGGGGCCAGCCTGTCCCTTGCTGAGTGCCAGAGTTGTGAGGAGGTGCTGGGGACAAGCTGGTGTGGGAGAAGGAGGACCAATGTGGTCCCCACACACAGAAGGACTTGAGCAGGGGGTGCCAGGAGGGGCAGAGGGGTCTGGGCAGCCCCGTGCCCAGTAGTCTGTACTCTGTCCCAATGGAAAACATGAGCAGGGGCCAGTGGCCCCCTGCCCTTGGGGCCATGGGTCATCCCTGAGGTGTTCCTGCTGTGCCTGGGGCACAGGCAGTGGTGTTCCCATCCCCAGGGATCCTGGGTAGCTGCCAGTCTCCTCCTTGCAAGTCCTGTGTGCCAGTGCTGAGGGTGCTGAGACAGAAAGCTCGTGCTCCTCAGGGACTGTCCTGGGCTGCTCGGAAGCCAAGGGCTGGGTAATGACCATGAGCCCACACACTGTTTCAGAGCTTTGCTGTGTTTTGGAACCACTAATGGCTCCTGGTTTGAAAGGGATGTACCCTTCTGCCTCCTGGGCTATTTTTAAGTCTGAGCATCTCAGCCAAAGGCTGACTTTTTTTGCGGTCTTGGAGAGGGTAATTGTAATGGAAAATGTTCTGTTGATGTGTCAAACTGAGGTGGTGGGAGCGGCAGGGTGAGGCTGCTCGGGTCAAGGAGCTGCTGGAAGGAAGAGGAGATTTTGGGCACTTGCTGGGAAGGCACAACAGCAGGCCTGGAGTTAGGACATCTCTGCCACCCTCGAGCAGCCCTGTCATGCTGAGACTGCCTCCTCCAGCCTCCCTGCAGAGCACTGCACAACCCATTACTGCCATGGCAATGCACTGCCAGCGTGCCCAGTGCCACTTGCCTCACTGGCAGGTGAGCTGTGGGGGCTGGAGCACGCCAGGGTCCGGCAGGCAAGTGACCCAGGGCAGTGTCCCCTGCAGCACCACGCCTGGGCTTTCCTTCTCCCGTGGCAGGTGGGACGTGGGGCAGAAGGGGAGCAGTGCATGGAGCCACAGGGGACACTGCCCAGGGCCAGGTGCCAGGGGTCCCGTCACCCATGAGCAGCACTGCCAGGAGAGAAGGGAGACCTTTGCCGTGCCCCTGGGTGGGTGCCATCCCGGCAGTGCCACAGGCAGTGCTGTCAGCCCCGGGGGTGAAGGGACAGCCGTGCACTCCCTGCTCTGCCCCATCGCTTTCTGCCCCGGCCCCACGTGCCCTCCCCATCCCGCTCCACCCCGCTGGGCTCCCACGCTGCTCCTCTTCCCATCTGCAGCAGGAATGTACCGTGTCCCACACGTGGCTCCCCCTGTCCCGGGGAGGGCCGGGCTGAGCCGCCTGTCCCGCACCCCCCACACCCAGAGCTCCCCGCACAGTGCCCGCGGTGTTCCCGCACCGCCTCTGCTCGGGGCCCGGCTCCCGCGGCTCCACGTGGGGCTGAGCCGGCAGCTCGGCGGCCAGAGGCCTCTGAGCCTTGCACATGACCAGTCTTGCATCTGCCTTTCATTTCTTTCGTGCACTATATCCTTTGGATTGCAACTTGCCAATGCATCTGTCTGTACATAGCTGTACACAGCAGAGAGAGTCTGCAAATATATATCTCTACACACAGGAGGGGCTGGAATCGCTCGTGGTGTGGCCTTGGGTTTGCGCCTTCCCATGGGCTTCTCTTGCCAAGTGCTCTGCTGAGTGTAGGATGTTTTTATTGCTCTTTGTACAGTCAAACAAACAAAAGAACAACAAAACACAAACTTTGCACTCGATGCTTTTGTGTTGCTGCCTGGAGGGGCAGGACAGGTCCCTCATCTGCTCTGCCTGTGGGGATGAGTGGGCTCCCGTGTGGAGCTCGGTCCTGCTGGGGTGCTTTGGGTGCTGAGGGAGCCCAGGGCAGCCTGTGTGTCCACAGCTCCATCCCTGGGAGCTGCCACAGAGCCAGGGGCAGGCGGGGCAGTGCTGGGGGTGGGAGAGTGGCCAGTGCTGCCCCAGCCTTCCCACACCGAGATTTCAGGGGTGCTCGGCACCCACTGTGGGGACTCCAGCTGTGCCACAGGGACCTGTGCCCTGCCAGCTTCCCCACCTCTGCTCTGCAGAGAGCTGGGATTGACAGCTGCTCAGGGCTTGGCAGGTAAGGCTCAGCAGGCTCCAGCAGAGCCCGGGGCATGTGCTGGGTGATGGACACTTGTAACTGGGCTGCTCTCCCACTCAGCAATCCAGCAACGCCGTGTGGATGCTCTGGCACAACTGGGGCACATTTAATAGGCACATCCATCAATTTGCCCACCATGGAGACAGGAGAGGAGCTCTGACAGCCACCCTCTGTCCTCCCTCTCCCTGCTGCCCTTCAACCAGGGCCGCTGAACACCAGTGCATCCCAATTCCACACACGGGCAGGGTCTGGCAGCCGCCCCTACACACCTGCGACCACCTCTTTCCCTGGCCAGCGCTGCCCTCCTGCCCTGCCTTACCCCCTCCCCAGCCCAGCTCCAGCAGCAGGGTGACAGCCAGCAGTGCCAGTGGAATGGGCTCTCCCAGTGCCCCACCCGGGCACCGTGCCCTGGACACCTCGCCCTGTGCCCTGCTGTGGGGTCAGCGCTGCAGAAAACTCCCACCTCCCCACAGCACCTCTCCCTCCCTTAGGAAGGGCACCCAAATCACCTCCCCTGTCCTGCTGACACAGTCCTGCAGTGCTGGGCTGGTGCCGGGGGGTGCAGCCAATTGATACCTGGCCCATGGCAGGGAACAACTTGGCTGTGCAGTGAGGAGCAGCTCCCGAGAGGACAGCACGGGGTTATCACCCCACCCACAGGCAAAGGGGATGGGGGACCCATCCAGCTTGGTGCTTTCAGGACACCTCTTGGAATGTTGCTGGCAAAAAAGCTTGTGAGGAAGGCGAGCACGGTGGGATCACAGAGGAGACCCCGTGGGACACGACAAGGGTGAGTTCTCGTCACCACAGGGGACCAAGGGCAGTGACTGCAACCACCCAGTGCTTCTCCAGAACCAGGGACAGTCCCTTTTACAGAGCACTAAAATTTCCTTGGACCAGGTAGGATTACAGGTGTTAAAGAGCAAGAGAAGGGTCTGGAGGTGACGGGGAACTCTGCCTGGTGCTGTGCAGAGAGTCGTGGGGGACTGCTGGGCAGCCTCAGGGGAGCCCAGAGGCACTCTCCCTGGGATGCTGCCCTGCTCCTGGGGCTGGGAGAAGGGGACCTGGGAAGGGGACAGCCTGGGACTGTGAGCTCCGGGGTGCTGAGGGGTGTGAAGGGCAGCCCCGAAGAGATGGAGTGGGGAGGGTTCAGTGGAGGTGGCCTCAGGCTGTGTCGGGTCAGAAGAAACTTTCTCCTGGGACACAGGAGGGTTACCTCAGCTATTCTTGCAGATGCCTCTGCAGTGGCTGCCGGGGGACACTGCTGCTCTTTCCCTGCTTGTTTAAAGGGCCCGTGAAAGGGGATGAGGAACCATGCACCTCCAGAGGCAGCCGGCTCTGCTGGCAGGGGTGAGGAGGCAGCAGCAGCACAGCACTGGCAGGGAGAAGGATGCAGGGAGAGGGGAAAGCATTGTTCTGAGGGAAAGCTGCAGGCAGGGGAGAGCTGGAATGACAAAGGCAGCCAGGTACTCACCGCAGTCTTTGCCCGGGACCTCTCAGCTCCCAGCCCGGCGTGTCCATCCCAGCCAGGACAGTCCTGCAGAGTCTGATCCCTGCGGGTGCCTCCTGCCCACTGCCAGCTCCTGGGCTGCCAGGCCACCTTGTCTTTTAAAGGTCACAGCCAGAGGACCTTGCAGTAAATATAAGGTGCTGATGGGAAGCTCTGTTCCAGCGTTGCCACCTCCTCCTCCTCCTCCATCGGCAGGAGGGCTCTGCCTGCTCCAGGTCCGGGAGCTCAGCATCCTCTGGCTCGGGGAGCTCTGGGAGGGGGCTGGGACTGTCCTCCTGGGGCAGCCCCTGGCAGGATGCTCCAGGGCAGCCGGGGCCAGCGCTGCGCCTGCTGCATTGAGCTGGGAGGCTGCAGCCCAACTGCTCTGCTCAGCCCTACCTGGTCAGTACCCACGTGGAGGGAGGCAGGAGCCCTCCTCGGAGAGCAGCAGCCTGGCATTTTAACCCTTGAGCTCCAGCAGTGCAAGGTGAGAGGGACTGAAGGTATGTGGACAGCCACTGTGACCCCCTCCCACAGGCTGTGAGTCAGCTGGCAGCACCCCTGAGCCCTCCTTCCTGTCCCCCAGGGAGGTGACAGCATCCGAGCAGAGGGTGCTCAGTTTCCCTGAAAGCAGACACAGTATCCTGGTGCTGGACTCAGCAGAACAAGTTTCCGCTGAGCCTCAGGAACGCCAGGTCCCATGCTGGACATCAGCACAGTGCCAAAATCCCGAGGCCAGCTGCTGGGAGTGCCCTTCCCGGCCATGGCACCGCTCTCCAGGGCCGGGCTGTGGGAGAGCAGAGCCTTTCCCGGCCCGCGGCAGTGGCAGATGTCTGACGAGATCAGTCGGCCGGGGAGAGCGGCTGGAACTGCCAAGTGTGACAGCTCCATCAGGCTCTGGTGACAGCCAGCATCCCCCTCCGAGCCCTGGGCCGAGTGGGCACAGCTGGCCTCGGGTGTGCAGGGCAGTGGGCAGTGGGGCACCAGGGCTGCTGCCTCTGCAGAGATGCTCAGCAGGGAAGTGTGGCTGCAGGAGTGTGTGAGCACGGAATAACTGGGTACACACCTCCCCAGCACGCCCCGTTTGTGCCAGTGCTCACAGGAGCTCTTTTGTATTCAGTGGCCAACCCTTGCAGCCGGGCAGTGCTGCTATTCCCAACCTTCCTGCCTCCAAAAAGATTTAGGGCTCTGCTGGCGGGATTCCTAAATGACAGCTCGGCCAGATGCATCCTAACTTGACCCATCATCTTGGAAGCAAACTTCGCAGACAGGTGAGCATCCCAGGAGGGGGTTCTTCACACCTAGTGGCCTTTCCCTGCACCAGGGCAAGGGTGCTGCTGTTCCAGGTCCCCAGTGCTGCAGGTCTCTGTGGTCTTGTTCACTGGATACTGGAGATTCCAGATTCCAGCCTCAGACTCACCTGCACCTGTGACTCTGGCCCCAGCAGCCATCATGACAGGCATCATTTGCAGGGGTAACAGGCATCCCTTCACCCCTTCAGACCTCTCTGCCTCCCCTCTCACAATTTGTGATGCTCCAGCAAACGCAGTGCTCCTCCTCCTGCCTTGGCACAGTGCCTGCCTGGTCACCCGTGCCTGCAGCTCCACTCACCTCTCTGCATCCATCCCCTCACTGCATCCATCACCTCTGTGTATCCATCCCCTCCCTGTATCCATCCCAGCTGCCCGCCAAGGCACCTTCTGCTGCATCAGCAGTGCCGCGCACGCCGCTCCCGCAGTGCCGGCTGCCAGCGCTGCCCAGCCCCGCTCTGCCTGTACTTTTCCTGTCTCTGTTGCCAGCTCTGCAGCCCTAATGCCTCAACCCACAGGCACTGCTGGCATCCTCTCAGGCTCCCCTGGGACGTCCCCGTGCCTTGCACAGCCTCCAGTTTTCCCTCTTCCCTTCTGCTTTGTGCTGCTGGCCAGGTGGGCGGGAGAGCGAGCTGCAAAGGGGCTGGAGTGGGGACCAGGAGACTCAACGTGCCCTGAAGGTGACAGGTCGTGGCACCTGGACACGCAGGCAGCATCCCTGCAGCTGAGCTGCTCTCACGCCCGAAAAGAAGCAATCCAGTTTGAGGAGCCATGCTGCAGTGATTACCAGCAAGGGAGGTACAGCCTCACCGCTCCCTGGGATGAGCTCTGCCGGGACATGTGCCGTGTGCCACCAAGGACTGCAGCCCCGAGAAACGGTCAGTGCTGTTCCTGCTCCGTGAGTGTGGCAGCACCTCCCCCCCTTCCCCTGTGCCTGTTTTGGGATGCATCACCTCCTGCAAATGCCTGCTCTGCACAGGGGTCGGTGTCTAATGGACCAGAGGTAAAGCTCTGCCCGAGCTCCTAATGGAGGTCCCCCACCGCCACCTTTCAGGCTGTGGTCAGCTCAGGGCAGGTCTAATGGATGTGGCGGCGAGGAAAAGGTTGCTGACACATGAACTTAAGTGCAGCCAATTATTCTGGAACAAGCTCACGGTGAGGAAAATAAGTTCTCAAAGTGTTCCCTTTGGCGCAGGGTGGGACCCGCTGTCCATCAGTGTCTGGCTCTGCATCCCCACCTGTGTCTGCTGCCTGCCTTGGGGCTGGGAGGTGTCTTGGGGCTGGAGGGCAGAGACACATGTGCTGTCACTTCTCTGAGATACCCCGAAGGAGAGCTGAGCCCCAGCCTTGTCCTGTTTTGTTGTCCTGCTGGCAGCGGCAGGGAAGCCACCAGCCCAAGTGGCACTTTGGCCCCTTCCGAAGGTCGCCCAGGGCAGCACCAGCCTCACATTCCCAGGCCATCAGAGAATTGTTAAGGCTGGAAAGGCACTCTGGGATCATTGCATCCAACTCTTATTCCAGCACTGTCAAGGCCACCACTGAACCATGTCCTCAGGTGAGACATCCACATGTTTTTTGAACACTTACAGGGTTGGTGACTCCAACACTGCCCTAGGCAGTCTATGCCAGTGCTGGACAACCCTTTCTGTGAAGAAATTTTCCCTGATATTCAACCTAAAGCTCCTCTGGAGTAATTTGAAGCCATTTCCTCTTGCCTTGTTACCTGGGAGAGAGAACCCGACCCCCACCTGGCTCCACCCTCCTGTCAGGGAGATGCAGAGAGCGAGAAGGTTCCCTCCGAGCCTCCGTTTCTCCAGGCTGAGCCCCCCCAGCTCCCTCAGCCGCTCCTCGTCAGACTTGAGCTGCAGACCCTGCTCTGGACACGCTCCAGCACCTCAGTGTCCTTCTAGCGAGGGGCCCAAAAGCGACCCCAGGATTCGGGGTGCAGTTTCATCACAGGGAAACCGTCACTGCCCTGGTCCAGGATCGCTCCCGGATTCCCCGGGGTGGGCGGGGGAGCGCGGGGATGCGCGGGGGGATGCGGAGGAGGGCGGAGGAAGGCTCACCGCAGCCCCGCCCGGCGCGGCCCCGCCCGGCGCCGCTCGCCCTCCGCGGGGGCGGCCAGAGCCGGGCGCTGCGGGCAGCAGGGACCGCTCCGCTCCGCACAGCCCCGCACCTCCCCGCACCGCGCCGCAGCCATGGC